TCTGCCACTCAAGCATGGACTGAAATAAGTCATATGGCAACCAGCTACCGATGGCGTGGGTGAGGGCAGGACTGCCGATCTTTATGGATTATTCGTCTGGCTCTGATCGTGCTTTGGTGCGTGCAAAGCTCGCCTTCGGTTTTGATGATTATCAAACATATCGTTGTAAGCGGACAGGTTGCGCCAAATATTGAAGCTGAATGTCAAAGTGAGATAGATTCAGGGTTGGCTACCGATCCTCCAGTGTATTGGCTTCACTTTCAAGGCCCCACGAAAATAGTGCGCGGAGCTGCTCTCTACTTGGAAGAACACTTTGCTATTCAACACTGGGTCTCTAAGACCTCCCTGCAACTTTTTGGAGCCCGTCGAACCATTCGGTGGATGGGGAGTACAATGGTTTGCGTTAGTCTCTTACGAGAAAAATTACACGGGGCCCCTGCAAGGACCGTGATGATCAGAATGAACAAGAGAGGTGAAGACTTCAGCTGGAACTGTCAGTGATAGGCAGCACCGTCCACTGATCACATGTTTACCTTCCTCCAGATGCTTGAACATCGCTACACGTACTGCAGCTCAATAATATTTGCCTCTTGAAATTGGGGATGCCTTCAAATTCGTTGGACAGAGCGATTTCGGTTTAAGGAGGGCCTGCCTGAGGAGTAAATTAACGTCTTAAAAGTTTTATATAATACCTCAGGTAGAGTGAGACCATACAACCACCCGTCTCTACTGTTCCAAGCCAGCAGTGGGGTTAGCGGGGTATATTCGGTCTGCGATAAACCTCAGAGCCAGGATTCCGAGGCAACAGAGCTACGCAACTTCGCTAAACAGGTCCTACGGACTCGCCCCAAGTTATGTGGTACATCGCAGGAACGCGTCTCAGCCACCGTCGGTATCCGGCATGTTTCCACGCGAGCCTAATGCAGCGCTCTAGATTAGATATGTTGCAAAAAGTGAGATTAGTTTAAATTGCTCGCAGAATTGGCCATTTCACCTGCCATTTAAACGGAATAATGATAATAACGTCGGTCTTGCATTTTAAAGCTGAAGTAGCCACATTCTGAATACCGACGGTGGTCTCAGCTCATCGCAGCAACTCGCGTGGTTATCCGAAATCCAAACCTAACGGGGTGAAAAACCCTACATTGGTGCTGGTTCCACAAAACCAATGTCGATGAGGGTAGGAACTATCGAAAAACATGCAGCTTTGCCGTAGATGTAAACCTAGGAAACTGCCCTGCAGGCACTTGTTAACGGTAACCGTAACCAGCAAAAATGCTGTTTGTTGTACGTCACTGGCGTAAAAAGGAAAGTTAGCTACCTTGTCCATACCGGCGAAGAAGTTAACGTTCTTCTCGGAACGACGAAGAAATGCCATCATGATCCATCCTTTAATCTTCAGGCGGACAAGGGCGAGGTGACAGAAACATTTGGTAAGCGGTTTGCACACCTCAACCCAGGTTCACGCACCGGTTTTCCACCCTCTGGCTGACGTTTCTATGCCCATCATTGGCACAGACTTGCCAAACAGTTAAGACCTACTCGTAGACGCTAGCCGACAACGACTGACAGATAACAACACAAAGTTATATACTGGTGGCAGCATGTGAGCAGGCTCGAGTTTGGCAGTAGTTAGAACTGAGTGCTAAGGTAACGCGTCCTATTGAGAAGTTTTGGAAAAACATCCAGAGCTGTAACGTAACAGGAAGGCGTGCAAAATGTCGCGGATGCTTGACCATATGCCTTCAGCTTGGTGAGTCCGATAAAACTTTGAAGGCTAGCGTCAGTGTTGAATCCAGTCGAACCCTGGGCTTTTGACTCTATGGAGGAATGCAGCATTACAGATCACTCCCCCCTAGTGGGTTCGTGAGGACTCTGGGGCAGTACCAGCCGGGAGAGTTTTCACCAGTGTTGAAACCACTAGGGTTTTACTTCGGTCTGGTATTGTCTTGGGGTCCACACAAACCCACTGGGGGGAGTGACCTGTAACATTGCATACCTCCCCAGAATCAGTAGCCTGGGCTTCGACGAGATTCAACATTGATGCTGACCCTCACAGTTTTGTCAAATTTCCTAAGCTGAAGGCAGGCAGTCAACCATCCACCCCATTCGGCACTGTGTCGTATTACGTTACACTGCTCGTAGTCGACCCTCTAGCCAGCTAGTTGAAACGCATCGGTATTTTGGTGTAACCTCACAAATATACCACTCCACCTGGCCACTCTGTTGTTTTCTTCCTTGGTCTCGTACTCGTGGGTATATTACAGGTGAGAATGATTAGTGATTAGCCCCTGCATCTGCCAAGTTCTCAATAGGACACTTCCCAAAGCGAGACAGCGTGTGCTTGGTTATGATGGAGATTGTCGTTCAGTATGTGAAGCCATTTGTGAACACTAGCTTCGGTGGCTTCGACATGTGTTACACATGTCGTCCCAACGGCTTACGTGCTTTTCGTTGCTCGCTGATCCTGGGGGGGATAAAAGAATCCAAGAGGTGACCAGTGTGTGACATGACGCCATGAGATGAGGGACAGTTGTATCTCACTAGCGTCTGTTGGCTCGTCACTACTCTCTGGATTGTCCCGGGGATCATGCAATTCAGTGTCTTGAGACGTTGTCTATATGACTCAGGGTCGAAACCAGTGACAGTCAAGCTGAATTTTCCTTCTATCTTCTGCTTCTGAAGGGCGATGAATGTATTATTTTGAATGTACTAGACTGCCCTCCCAATCTAGCTATTCTCATGTTTTCTTTTTTACTTGTCCGCTTCTCTTCACTTTATATCTCTGTAGCTTTGTATTGTCTTGCGCAGCAAATTTCTTGGCGGTTTGGTGTGCCATGTTATCTTTCTGACGATAAAACTTGCGCGACATCACCCGATTCTTCGGGGAAACGGGATCTGGTTACCAGTCTCGTCTTTTTATGTGTTGCTTCGTCTTCTTTGTACTGTCACTCATGTCTTTTTTCCTACATCTACTTTGGCCAAGGAAACTAGCTGTTGAGTGATGGGCTGGATGAGCTTCCTGCAATTCTGCGGTCACATGCGTCTATTTCCAGGACCATGAAGCAGTCTTCTTTTCATCGGCAACCGAATTAAACACCAGTTCTCTACCAGTCTGGGGCAGCGCTGACGTCGCAACGACCAGCTGTTGATGGGTCTTCGTCTAGTATGGAGGTGGGTGCGTAGACTGTTGCCTGGGGGGTATAGAGTAATTTGAGTTTGGTGTTGATCATGAATTTGGAGAGGAAAAAAGGCACAAACGTGACAGGAGGACTCAGCACGTGTACAAGATGTACCCACGCCTAGCAACAAAAGATAAATGAGAAACGGTAGGGCTTGACAACGAAGACTTGAAACCAGAAAGTGAATGAACAATGTTTCGAGCGCATCACAATATCTACCGTAAAGTTCCCCCGCTTTTATTCACTGTGATAATGATCACACTGCGGCAGGGAAACAAGAACGAGAATCCGCGATGTTTGCGGAAGTCGGCATCGGTGTAAGGAAACCATGTTTCCATGTTTCCTGGCCAGAATAGCATTAGACGGATTAGGTATGTTGTCATTTTGGTGCGGATAAGTTTGGGAGTCTGAATGAATAGTGATACGGAAGTCCATAATAAGAAAAAATAAAAGTCATGAATATGACGGCAGAAATGCACATGCACAGAAAAGAACAGGCTCATCGGTTTAATTATTGGTCATGCGCGAACCAGACAGACACAGAGACCGACCACTAACTGTCCGTGCTTACTATATAGGCGCGAGTGCTAGACCAAGAGAGAACACAGCAGGGTAGCCAGATGGAATAACATACTTGATACACCGTGCAAAGTGGTGGTGTCTTACGACTGGGCGGCTCGAGTATCGCCAGCCAGAAACACACTGTGAAACGACAACACGCCAAACAGCGTGGATGCTTGATGGTGTTCCTTCTGCTCCGTTGGAACTCTGAAGGTCAGCGTCAATATAGAATCTTGTCGGAGCTTAGGGTATTGATTTTGGTCTATTCTTCATCGGCACATAATGTACCATTTCATTTCAGTTAGATCACCTGACAATGTCACGTTCGAGGAACTTCAGTCTGCTGAATTTATCATCTTAGTACATTATCTTGGGAACTTCCAAGCGTTCTTTGCCCTCGTCCTTGGCTTTAAGAAACGAAGATTTCAGGAGGCTTAGCTAAAGATCTCACGAACAAACGCGGTATTAGATGCCATGACAAACAGCTCAGTGTCGCAAGCACAATACACATATTCGGACAAATTAGTGTCACTCCCCTCTGAATATTTATACTGCTCCATACTTGAAACACGTTAACCACCAGACAATCATCAACTGGTGGAGTCAGAATCCTCATACTGCACAAAATAGCGAGCCAAATAGACCGAGCACGCAGGTGTCTTCTTGGTCCATACTAGACAGATAAACTTTGCCTCTTAAAATGCATTTGCAGAGAGGCGCAAGCCATTCAGGTAGCCTCACATCCACCGTGATTTCCTCCACGAATGTGACACGATTCAGAGTTTTATGAAAACCTTGAAAAACTAACACAGCTCGAAACTTCTGTTAGTGTTAATGTTAAATTTGTTGTCTTTTCGTTTGATTTATGAGAAGAACCACACAGTGAAGCAGTAAGATCACTTCAGCTTCAACTTTTCTGTTGTATGAAACACCATGACTTCCCTAAGAGTTGTTAAACCCTGAAATGCTCTTCCTACGGAATCGGTCAAGGCTACTTCGTCTGAATCCTTCAAACCCCTACTGGATAATTATTTGACATGTGACTGGGATCAGATCAGAACTGATTTAATTTTCACATTTTAACTGTCACTGTTTCCTTTATCTGCCTACTAGTACATAATTTAAAAACTATGAAGAGTAGTGGTCCACGGATTGGAGACGTGAAATTCAGTTAAGCGAAAGCTTCTTCTACTCAGGTAACAGTCGTTTGGAATATACTGTTTTGTTTGACTGCTTACGAAAAACGTGCAACCATAACGATTTTATTGCGAAAATACAAACGATCGCCACATTGGGTTTGTTATTTACATATAATACACCTAAATTCTTATCCTCATGACTTCAGCTATCTTTAGAATACTACACGTAGTTACCATCAACTAAGGTTTAGGACTTAAGTTATGCCTAACGACACTAAATGAAATTTTATACAACAAGCTGGTCAGCATTTTCATCGAACGCAATGTTGTGTTACTTTCTATAGCAAACGTTGATATGACTATCGTTATTTATGCAGATTTTGCATCACTTTCATGCATATGGCTCGATGTTGTCTAGCTCTGAGCTAATGCAGAATTCGGCCACGTGTCCATTAGATTTTGCAATATGTCCAGCTCCATTTTCTACAACTTTCTCAGTATGTAGCCCAGCATCTCTCATGATAACAATTCATTTGGTCTCATGTTTTTCGACCGTGGTCGGTAACCAAACGTTGCCATCATGTACACCACATCTGCTCCCACATCAAACTCCTGTCCCAAATCTTTATTTAGCGCAACGAAAATGTTAACAGGAAATCCACGCAACACTCACGCTAGAATTTGTGTCACTTTCCTATGTCTGATCGCAATCATTAGGCTTCATGAGCAATAAAACCACTGCTTTGCAAAACTGCAACTTTACTTACCTATTTAAGATACTAGTTCAATCTCATATCGAACCCGACCTAACCGATGTTTTAACTCAGTTTTAATTTGGAACAATTAATCGCTCTTGTCTGTAAAACAACTGAACGCCATAAAGAGCCTTTGGAATTGTAGACGAAGTAGCTCTTATTGATCCTTACAGTAAGTACCAATAATAATACTAGTACTATCCTAAGGTTTTGTATTTTTACACAAGGAAAACCGTAAGAGAAACATATGCATCTGAGCTCCAACGCTGCTTGAAGAAACAACGTAAATGGTTTATTTTAATACGACTATTGATGAAGCTTTTTCAGGATCCTGCATCTAACTACTATCTAAAGGTTACCGTCAGTGTATGGAAACTGTTTTCATTGGTGGCATAGAAATAATGCAACCAGTGCATTGTTGAGGAGGAGTTAATCTAAGTATCTTGACGGTCAGTTTTATTCAAGATCTCATTTCTGTTGCCATTTTGCGGCATTGCTAGTGAAATAGGCTTTGGTCTGCAAAACGTAGTGGGCTTAGTGTACGTTGTTCGTGTTTAGCGAACTTTTTCATTACAAAAGGAGATCAAGCTGATGTCAACGGAGTTAGCATTTCAGCCGAATTAATATTTGTTGACTTTGACAGGACCCTTGGTAAGGTCTCCAATTTATGTCTCACGAAAACGCCGGAAAGTTCTGGCATTGATAGCGTATTTAGAAGCTTAGCCAATGATGATTTGCAACAAAAGTTAAACAGGATAAATAGAGTTTTGTCTTCATAGAGAGTAGTATATAAATGAGTGCCTCAAGATATTATATTTTTTTCATTTCTCTTCTTACTTTGTGTGACCAAGGTTCCTGAGACAATCAGGTATCCTGCCATCATGTATGCGGATGACACCAAAACCTGAAGAGGTATTCTTGTGGATGGGAGTAAGCTGCTTCCACAGCAGGATCTAAAATTTGAAGCATATTGGTCAACAAACTGGCATCTAGGAATTAACACTACTTTTTTGGTCATGTGAATGCATAAGAACGATTCTTATTACACTTATAAATGACATACTGCTGCTCAAATTAATTGAATACACGGATCTGGACATCATAGTTACTTTTGACTGCAAAATACCAACTAGGTGTAATAGCAGCTTTGAAGGCTTTCATATCTTGTGGTCCTAGCGAAAGGCCTTTCAGAGCTTCGATGAAGTCATTTTTCGTATCTTGTAGTTAGCATGTGTAGGAAATTTTAGGACTTGTCCTTGTAAGAACCTGACAAATTCAGGGCTAATCACTAATCATTCTCACTTGTAATATACCCACGAGTACGAGAGCAAGGAAGAAAACAGTAGCGTAGTCAGATTCTGCTTCTTTATCAGTATCCTGCTAAGTAATGCGACAAGGAACACATGGGTCTTCTGGTCTTCCTAATATATAAAACAGCCGTTTAAGAAATCCCAAATAATCTCCATTGGCGACTTTGCATATGCCATACAACATCTAATAGTGACTATCCAATTCAGTGTCACAGTACTTTAACCTAAATACTCTGTCTTTCACTATAAGCAAGTTCCGAAGGTCTTTTCATTGCTTAAAAAACCTTTGGCCTTGACAGTCAAACTAAGGTGGTTTATTATTATTATTATTATTATTATTATTATTATTATTATTAGTCCCTTGGGTTCCTAGTGGAACATAGGGCTTCAGTAGCACGCCTCCAGTGACCTCTGTTCTCTGAGATCTTTTGAACCTGGTTCCACGACAGCCCACAACCTCTCATTTCCTCCTCGCACGACCTCCTCCATGTCACCCTCGGACGTCCAACTCGTCGCTTCCCATGGGGATTCCACTCGAGGGCCTGACGCGTGATGTCCTCAGTCGGCCTTCTCAGTGCATGGCCAATCCATCTCCACTTCTTCCTGCATATTTGTTGCGTGATAGGTTCTTGGTTGGTTCGTTCCCAGAGTTCCTTGTTGCTTATTTTTTCTGGCCATCTGATCTTCAGCAGCGAGCGTAAGCAGTTGTTGATGAATGTCTGTAGTTTATTGGAAATGCCTTTCGTGACGCGCCAAGTCTCTGAGCCATACAAGAGCACTGACTTGACGTTGGTGTTGAAAATCCGTATCTTGTTCCGCATGCTGAGTGCAGAAGATCTCCACACTGGTTTCAGGCTAATGAACGCCTGTCTTGCTTTTCCGATTCTGACTTTGACGTCCTCGTCCGTCCCGCCTGTAGTTGAAACAGTGCTTCCTAGATAAGTGAAGGAGGTTACTTCCTTCAAGTTTCTCCCGTTGACGGTGATTGGAGTTTGTTGTTGTTGTTGATGGTGGTGGTGCGGTATCTTCATCACTTCTGTCTTCTCTATATTCACCTGAAGTCCCGTCTTAGCTGCCTCTTCTGTCAACTTGTTAGTTTTTGCCTGCAGATCTTCAAGTTTATGTGACATTAGGCATAAGTCATCGGCGAAATCCAAGTCTTCTAGGTTCTTTTCCGTCGTCCAGTGTATCCCCCTCTTCTCGCTGCCTACTGTTTGCTGCATGATCCAGTCCACCACAATAAGGAATATCATGGGGGATAGTAGGCAACCTTGTTTCACTCCTGTCTTCACTTCAAAGGCATCACTGAGCTTCCCATTGTGGATTACTTGGCATGTGGCATCTTCATATAGTTGTTGAATGAGGCGGATAAAGGTTTGCGGTACTCCGTAGTATTGAAGCAGTTTCCAAATTACTTCTCGGTCGACGCTGTCAAAGGCCTTCTCAAAGTCGATGAAGTTGAGGTATAGAGCTGATTGCCATTCTACGCTCTGTTCTATGATGATACGAAGCGTTGCAATTTGGTCAGCACATGATTTGTACTTCCTGAAGCCTGCCTGTTCCGGTCGCAGTTTTGAATCCAGTGCGTCTTTAAGCCTCTCCAGGATGATGCGGCTTAATATTTTACTTGGGGTGGACAGGAGAGTGATTCCGCGCCAGTTCTTGCAAGCACTGAGGTCTCCCTTCTTCGGCAGTTTGACAAGGTAACCCTTCTTCCAATCGTCAGGTACCTTCTCTTCCTTCCACACCTTCTGCAATAGTGGTGTGAGCATGTCCGCTGTTGTCTCTGCATCTGTTCTCAGTGCTTCTGGCGGTATTCCATCTGGTCCTGCTGCTTTCCCGCATTTCAGTAGCTTTATGGCGTTCAGGACTTCCATTTTCGTTGGGGGATTTATGTTCACTTGTAATTCAGCGGCTGCAGGTGGTATTTCTGGACGAAGTGCAGGTGGTGGTCGATTCAAGAGCTTCTTGAAGTGGTCGGCCCATCGTTTCCTCTGTTTCTCTTCTTTTGTAATTAAATTTCCTTCTTCATCTTTTATTGGTTTCATCTGTGTTGGTCTCTTCCCTGATAGCAACCTGGTTATTTGATACAATGTCGTCAGGTCTCTCTTACCTGCAGCCTGTTCTGCTTCACTTGCCAGTGTTTCGTAGAAGTGTCTTTTGTCTTTGCGTGCACTCTTCTTCACTTCTTTGTCCAGTGTTTTATACATTGTGCTCAGTTCCTCTTGTCGTTGAGCATCCTTGCACTGGTTTATCTTCTGCTTCACCATCCTCCTCTCCTCTATCAGCTTCCAGGTATCCGTCGAGATCCATTCCTTGTCTTCTTTCTTCTTCCTTCCTAATACTGTTGTGCAGGTTTCTTTCCACATAGCTTTCAAAGACTTCCAGTGTTCTTCCACACAGGTTTCTTCAGGGATGTCCCTCGATGTCTCCCATTTTGTCTTGATGGCTGCTTTGAAGATCTCCTTTGTAGTTTCATCCTTCAGTTTCCGAGTGTTGTACTTGAATTGAGGTCTATCACCAGCTTCCTTGAAGGCTTTTAACTTGATTTGGAAGGTTCCTTGCACTAGATAGTGGTCTGAACCTACATCTGCTCCTCTTCTTGACCTTGTGTTAAGTAGACTGCGTCTCCATTTTCTTGAGATTGAGATAAAGTCGATTTGATTTTTAGTGTGTCCATCTGGTGAAGTCCATGTCGCTTTGTGGATATCCTTGTGCCTGAACACACTGCCTCCAATCACCAAATCGTTGAATGCACAGAATTCTGCAAACAATTCTCCATTCTCATTCATTTCACCTAGCGCCTCTCGACCAAGGTGGTTTATGAGTGGGACTTATAGAAGTAAAACAAGGAATATTTAATGGTTATATTCTCATATATATCTCGAAATCTATCTTATAGCTTCTGATTGAACTGGGCTGTATCAGAGGGCCAGTCCGTTGAAATAATGTTATCACTAATCACCCCCATAACCTCAACCCAGGGTGAAAGAGAATCATGTCCTCCGTTCTGGACGTGGACGTGATCAGCACTTGCAACTAAAAGTACCGAGGGCGCACTACATCATCAAACTATTGTGCGAAGATTAGG